TTGACTAAGATGCCGGCGAAACGTCTAGGAATGTACCGCGTCCACGGTCCGACTTTGAAAATAATTATGCATACAATGGACTCAGGACAAGGGGATTTCCTATTGGTCTTCCTACCAATATGACCAAGTTGCGAAAACAAGGTCAAACAATTTCTTTACAACTAAAGTTACGCTTGGGCGAGAACACTTACAAGAGTAATCAACATTTCAACTTCTCTCGATCCACATAATTGGGCTTTAGTGTTACATTTATGTCTAAACAAAAGTTCTACTTAGAATATGCTCGATACTATCCTTTCTGTCTTGACTCTTTACAAGAGCTCTAATACTAACATGTTATGGTGGAATAAGTTAAAGGCTCCCTAATGACGCGTAAAAGGCTTTGTCTACACAGGAAATATTTGTTATCTTAAATGGTTTTATACTTTTTCGCAGAATCTGCGTATAGTGAATAAGCTGCATGAATGCTTGTATTTACGTCTCAATATTGCAATATATATGACTATATATGCTCGACCATAGTCCTGATAGTTTATAAGATGTCAAGAGTCCAAGTAAACTATTCTTTTGCAGCGATTAGACCGAGTCAGCACGACTTATGTTTCTAGCCTGACTTTCTCAGTATGAGTATGCTTTGAGACTATCGGTAATTATTGAGTTAGATCTTAGTGGTTCAGGGACTGTTAAGGGAGTTTTTCCCAAAATTCTATAAGTAAGTCTTACAATGCGACTGAATTAGATCTCCTCTACGACAAACTGGCATCGTGAGGTCTATCCTTTGTGCAGGAGTATAACTTGCAGATATTAAATTTTAAAGTATACATTCTTCAGGAAATTCATCACTAATTATTCTCAACTTCCACATCACACTTTGATGGTACACTTATTCTTAATCACTCTGTAATAGGCCCGGAATTAACCTAATGATAGCATTGGAATGAGTACGCGACTGTTTGCATATAACTACTTTTCAAGAGATCTGATTCCAAGGGACACTGGTTGTAAATGGTAACTTTTCAAATAATACATGATAGATTAGCCTGGGTATAAAAACAACGTCACCTTTACTGATTATGCATTTATTGGAGGATCTGAGGATTCGTATACCCGTAATGGAGTATATAGTGTAGGTTTTTTAGCTCAACTACTGGTGACAACATGTTAGCCATATGATGGGTGCAACAAAATATTACTTACGAAGAAAAGTTGCGTCTCAAGGAATCTCTTGGTATATAATTTTTAAGCTCATTCTAGTTCGAATAGAAGTGGGCGATTGAGAGATTAGAAGATTGATCCCACCAGAATATGATGGCGGATTCCTATTTGCAAGCTGTTGGCTGGCTGTACTGAAACATTCTTGCTGATACTTTCTCCGATGCAGTCTCCTTTCAAAGCAGGAAATCATTTTTGCAACCATGGTTAGCCTAACAAGTCAAGAAAGCTCATTGGCTTATCCCTAAATCTATGCGTTTTTATGGGGTATACATTCATTTATCGATCTAGGAGCTTGTGTGTATGTCTACATACCTTCATGTGTACGCATATATACTGAACCAGCAGTGATCTACTCAGTTAATCCGTTTGACAGAATTTGTGTTTACCCACTTACGAAGCAAGGAAAGAGCTTAATTTTACTTTAAGTACCAACTTAAAATGCAACTGTATGGGTAAACGAATAAAAAGGTCCATGCTACTTTATGGGATCGTCATTATTCAGTACGAAGACGACGTCGGTTTTGATGAATTCTTTTAGGATCATTGATGTGCTGACTCTACCTTTCTTGCGAATGTGCTGTATTAAGATATTTATATTTCAGTCCCGCCAGAAAACAAAGCTGACTTATTTTGTTTGCAGTGGTTTAGTCAAACTCGAATCTTGCGAGAAGACACCCACTTTAGTGCAATTGAGATTTGAAGCAGAATTTTACTACCCTGGTTTTAGACTGAGTTAAACTAAGGATTTTTTCCACAGGAATCTAAAAGGGGATTCGATATCCATCATGGTTTTTATCCTAATCTATTCGTTTTCTAGGAGCGAATATTTGGAGAGCCCATAATTCATCCCATCATCAAGCTTACTTAAGTAGCTCCAGTCGGGAACTTTTAGATGTATCGGCATGGAGTATTAGATGGTCGCGAGACCAACCAATCTGCTAACCGCGATTTCCTCGTCGGCCGTCACCGGCAACGATTCACTCCTAACAAACCATTTATTAGGACTGGATTCTTCATGCCAAGGCCTATGCATCACTTTAATTGAACTCAATTATAGCACTTGCACCTTCACTTCATTCCTATTAAACCAATATCACTCCACTCTATGAACAGTTTCCCTAAGTATGAAGACCAAGATGGTGTGGTATTTTTTGTGGTCACAGTCTCCTTCCATTGTATGGAAGTTGTTTGACCTTGTTTTCGCAACTTGGTCATATTGGTAGGAAGACT